CCACTGCCACCACAATAATCGTCATCGCCCCCACCGCCATCGCCGCCACCACCATCGCCACCACAATTATCACCATCTCCTACCACCATCATTGTCACCCACCATCTCTCACTCTCACTACAACCGATGCTTAAATTCATTTATTTATTCTCTATGTTTATGATTTGATTTTGGATATAAATACAAATATGTTTATTGTTTACAATTTTTTATTACTCTGTGTGCCTGACGGCACAGACAATAACTAATACATTAACAAAATAGTAATACATAAATTGTGATAAATAAACTGATTTGTTTATATATCAGGAACTAAAATTAAACTTTATAGATCAAAAATAATATTTGACACTATGTCCTTAAAGTAAATTTTGACTCTACATTTGGTGCTTATGAAAATTTTAGCGTCTAGCCTCAGAATACAATGATCTTTACGCAATTGAAAGTAACACTATAATTCAATTGCCCTTAGAACCAGAATTATGTTGTGTACTCTCAGAAAATACAAATTATTAATGTAGAAATTATGAATGTTATGATTGTCTTAATTCATAAGTTTTCTCAATTCTCTTTGATTTGATCTCGGACTCCCAGAAGATATATCACTTTGTGACAACTTAACACTTCGGTGATTAATTCTAAATTTCTAGGTAGTTTTAGAATCGTTGTCGGAGAATTATTTGAAGACAACTAACACACCGCTATCTATTGAGATTTGATAAATTTGAGATTCATCTCATATTCTATTTTTTTAGATCCAAATAACATAACTAGTGAAAATAAAAGAGTTCGGACAAGCTATTATTATTATTATTATTTTTTGAAATAGCGACGAGCTATTATTGGTGGATCATATTGAAGGAAGAATGAGAGGGAGAGAGATGAGAGTGATATTTAAAGACTCTCACCACGGGCTTCTTCGCATAACTTTCCAACAAACATTGTAAACGTGCTAGTATTTTGATTTCACATTTACTATACCGTAGCCCACCAACATAAGATTAGCCAAACATAATCCCCTTACCTATCACGACTAGTAGAGCAATTTGAGCCAATCAATCAAAATTCCAGTTTAAAAAATTAAATAATATTATTTGAATTTAATTTATTAATATAATTTAATAATCTAATTCATTATATTTGTTGATCTTAAAATCTGCACCACTCGAATGAGATTATTTGACAATCTATTAAAAATTCTTACAAAAAGAAGTCAAAGATCGAGAAAGTTCTAGTGGTTGCCCTTTCAATAATAAACTTAAAAAAAACTGTGATCGACTCAGTTTTAACTAGTTGGGCTGAATTGTTTAGTTTAAATTCTTGTTCACGATTGACCCTCAAAAAAGTTACTAGCAATTTGAAAATTGAGTTGGATTTCTGAATAAAGATTCTTAAAAATTAAAACCAACAATCTAACAATCAATCTCAAAAATAATTAATTTCTCAGTAAAAATCTTGCAAAACAAACATAGAATTTGATCAATTTAGGTTCATTTTCTAATTGAGTTAATTGCATTAGAGGTTTTCAAAGTATAGAATTTGTCTGATTTTGATCCACAATATTTCAATTTTATCATTTTTGTCCTTAAAGTATTAAATATATTTTTACGTGATCCATCAAGCAAAAACATCCAGATTGCTAGCAGTTTTTTATTATAATTTTCTTATGTGATACCTAAATATGGACAAAAAAATAATTTGAATAACTCTTAACTAAAATTTGGATAGCTCATGATCAAAACTGTGTGATTAGGATAACTCTTTGATTAAAATTTGGGTAAAAATTTAATCAAGAGTTATTCAAATTATTTTTTTACCTATATTTTTATATTAAGTAACAAGTTTATAATAAAAAATCGTTAATAATTTGGACGCTGTTTATTTGATGTACCACATAGAAATATATTCAATAGTTTAGAAATTAAAATGATACAATTGAACTATCTGAGACAAATCTTTAAGGATTTTTAGCGAAATGAATCCTTTCTAATTTCGACAAAGCTAAAACCGGATGTCAAAGCAGTTGGGACCGATATTTTCCAGCACGTGGTTTTCTTCAAGTTAGTCCACAGAGCAACCAAGCAGCTCATTGGGCGGCTTAGCCCAGGAGTTAATACCATTGTGTCATTTTAAATTCGTGTTTTAATATAATAATGTTTAGTTGATTAATATTGTGTTTAATTGAGTTTGTGTTTACTTTTAATTCACAAGTGTAACAAGTTTCGTTATTCTTTTTTTTTTTTTTTTT